GATGGATGTGCAATAAACAAACACACACACATACACACAAACGCACATACACGCATACATACATATAAACAATTGTACATACAAACATGATGACGATGCCGACAATGTCCAGGATGTTTGTGTTTGACGAACGGTTAATGACGATGTTGTTTAAACACTCGCCAAATACTGTGATAAATTTTTGAGGGTTTCCCGCCATAATGATGAAGAAGAAGAAGATGACGATGATGATGATGACGGTGATGATGATATTGATGATGATGATGACGACGGTGATGATGATGATTGCGATAATGACGATGATGATGATGCTGATGGTGATGATGATCAACAGATGATGATGTTTTTACTGGTGGTGATGATGATTGTTGCATTTTTAAAACAATTTGTTTTGTCCTAATTTTGGAAGAATTTTCACGCTGTGTTTCGCTCTGCCTATAAATATTTACTTGTGGTTATTTGTAATACTAATAAAAACAATAACGACAACAACAATAATAATAACAATAATAAACAAAATAACTATAATAATAACAATAATAATAACAAAAAAAGTTAAATATTTCGCTAACGATATTACAGAGAGAAACGCATTGATACTTAATTCGCATTTTATTATTATTATTATTATGTTTTTATTGTAGTTATTATTATTATTATTATCATTATTAACGAGATAACGCCTAAATAGAACCATGTGTTAGCAATATGGCATGGAACCATAATAGTAATAATAACAAAAACAGAAATAGACTAATAATAATAATAATAATAATAATAATAATAATAATAACATAAATACAATAATAATAATAACAGCAACAACAACAACAATAATAATAATAAAGTATGAGTTATGGTTCTCGCCGCTTCTGCCTGCATAATTGTTTTGCAATCTCTATAATTAAAATAATTATTTGCCTCATCGCTTAAACCATCGCGATCATCATCGCTACCATCATCGTTATCATCATCAAGAAAAGCTAAAACATCATCATCACCATCATCACCACCACACCCATCAACATTATCACCTCCACCATCGTCATCATCATCAGCTCGACAACTAATTCAGCCAATGGTGTTTCGCAACTGTGTTAAAAACTATTTTATTGAAAGCCTTGGCACTAAATTAATGCACGCGCGCACACACGCGCGTGCATTAATTCATTCATTCATTCAATCATTCATTCATTTATTTGTTTATCCATCCATCTATTTATTCATTCATTCATTCATTTATTTGTACATCCATCCATCTATTTATTCATTTATTCATTCATTCATTCATTCATTTCATTCATTCATTAACCACAGCTACCTTCAAGCACCCCGGCTTCAGTAACTCTTCAACCGG